GAATGTGTGGGAAATGCATTTCTGAAGGAAAAATAATGACAGTGGAAAGAGCCTCTGATCAGAATCAGTGCCCTGATGTGCACTAATTTGCCCCGCTGAGCAAGCACATAGCATGTTGAAGTCTTTTTGGGGGTGTCTAGAATCTAAACAATAGGAAAGATGAAGGTGGGTGTGGGAGAAAAAGGGCACAGAGAGAGGTAACATGAGGCTGAACTTCACAGATCCAGCCTGCCTGAAAACGTTTAATTGAAAAGTACCCCAGTCCAAAGCAAGTTTATATGCTGTGCGTGACTTGGTCAGGGTATGCCCAGGCCTTTGTAACCAACGCTGCATGGCTCACAGCAGTGCCAAAGGGGCACATCGCTGAGAGGACCCTTGCAACTACTGAACACATTAGACTCGATCCCAGCAATCGTCTGCAGGACTGAACCTCACATTCAAAAAAGAAAACCCCTAAAAACAATTAAAAAAAATGAGAATGCTGCATATGCTAAGCCCACGGAAAAGGTACCTTGAGTCTGAATATGAAACGCCATCTGGTACACGAACTTGTCTTCCAGTGCCGCCCTCCTGCCAAGCAATGGATGCAGTGTAAACCGCAACAGTGGGCACTAATGGGTCTCGTAACTAGGCTGACAATACCGGCACACACTTAGGGCAGCGTGCAGTGTATCATCCTACAATTCTCCGCAGCAATGACTATTATCAATTTGCTATGATGTATGGAGGGAGGTTTAGAACTTATTTTTCTTTGGGAAGGATTTATAGATCTGTTAGTGACTGGGCAGACTTAATGCTATACTTTGGGAAAGGAAATGAAAGAGGAAGGAAAAGCGGTAATAAAGCAGATTGGAGCAATTCTGGTTTAGGATAAATTCCTTCAGTCAGCTTTGGGTTTTTTGTAAGTCAAGGTATTCTGATTCTTTACTGGCTCCAGAGCTAGCAAAGATTTCGGTCAGTTTTGAATGGTAAAATATAAATATTGCTATTAAAAGGCTGTGAAAATTAGTACAGATTGCACATCTAAAGCCCCCTGAACATGAGAAAATCCAGAAGTCCTGCGAATTGTGCTGCTGCCAGAGTTCAGGCCTTCCTCCAGGCAGCCGTCCTCCACAGCCTCTTCTGTGCCATATGCAGCACATTTTTGCCTCCCTTCATGAGAATGAGAAACTTGTTGTGAACACACCGCTTTAAGCGGACAGCGTTCTCAACACATGTTGGTAGGAGATTGAAAATTAGTATTCCCCCTGTGGACATCCTTCTCCCTCCTCCCTTTGTTCTTGATAAGGGACATAAGCTTTTCTTAAAAAATAAGGCAGGTTTTGCAGCCCTGAAGCCCCATCCTCCAGCCCAGGGACTTCTCATCTCAGGTGAGGCCACTCCACAAAGGCAGTACAGCTTCTGCCGCCTTTGGAGGAAGCTTATTCCAGCCGATGACGGGGATGGGACCAGCCTGAATGTGGGGGTCTCCTGTTCCTCGGCAAGTCCTGTGAGCCTGCAGACACTTCAGCACTACTGACTGTATTACGAGTTTCTGAGGCAGTGAAGCCAAACAAGAGGAAAAGGCACTTCGCCAAAGTGGTGGTGTCTGAAAACAAGGTGCCTTAGGAAAATAGAAAAGTGCGCTTTTCAGACCTATCATCACAGCTGCTGCTTGCCAGTGGGGAGCATGGCCATGTTTAACCTCCCACCAAAACTGGACCTGAGTCTCCTTGCACTGAGTCCCTTCTCTGCCACTGCCCAACCCAGATTACAACAGGATCCTGAGCAGGACCTTGAGATGGGAGGAGAAATCCTGTTCCCCTCCTCCTCTTCTCTAGCTCCACACACAGCACTTGCATTCAGCCACTCAAAGTAGGCACCCCATGTGTCCACATGTTTTGGACAGATCTTTTCATTTATTATCCAGTAACAAAGTTGTGGAAGTGGAACCAAATCAGACAAAAGTGATGGAGTTGTGGCTCCACAGTGCTGAAGTCTGTATCGACTTTAAATATCTCGAGTCATTTTGAATAAACAGTGCTGCACACGTCAACATCCGAGGAAGAATTGGGTTTTTTTCTCATGCTGCACTGCTAACCTTCCCTACTGCCCCTGTCCAGCCCTTGTGCCCAAGCTAAAGCATGGTTTGCATGTTGCCTCCTCCGAGTCTCACGTGCACTGTGTGCACATTATACCGCAGCAGAAAGCACATTGTCTGAAGCAGGGAAAAACCACATAATATCTCCTGTAAGTTTTGCCACAAAGATAACAGAGGCAATTGCAATCACTAAACGTGCAGATCCATCTTCTGTTGCAAGTAAATCTACAAAATATCTAATGCCAACACGCGACTCTAGTGAATAGAAAGCACAGGAAATCTGACTCAACCCTATAATATCACATAACAAAAAATTAGATAAATGGAAATTTAGCATCTCCCTCACATTGACTGCAACATGTTGAGGATACTCGGGCCATTCGCCCATAGCGCCAGAGGCAAACCCTGCACCGTACCCTGGTCACGGTCAGAATAAAGACCCCTGTGTAGAACAGGATACTCTTTGATGGAGAGAACTAATCAGGAGCCTTTCTACTCGAGCCAGTAAAAAACATCATTTTTTCAATCCATACTGTTGATAAGGGCAGTCATGAATGAAAACCACTGTAGCGCAAAGCACACTACATAGCTCAAGTCAGCGGCAGTTTATCTGCCAGCCCCTCCGGAGGAAGCGTGCTGCTTGCTGCCTGACTCACAACCTCCCCATGGCACGCAGCGATAGCCGAGGAGGAAAAAACACAGTCCATCTCTGCCCCAAGGACACTTGCAGTCACCTCACCAAAGCTTCTGAGAGAACACGATTTTCCTGTCCACTGGGCACTGCTCTGTTCACTTACCATTGGAGACCCACCTCAGCAAAAGCACAAGACCTCCTTCTCCCCCTGCCTTTTATCCCAGAGGCAAGTGGTTTCTGGGAAGTATATCCTTCCTGCTGGGTAACTGCCACGCCAATTCAATCACTGCCTAATTTTCACAGCTTTTTTCTGATTTCCCCAGCTCTCAATTTCCCCGTTAGCTTAAAGAAAACACAGGCTGTGTTTGTCAGCTTGTTTCAAACAGGCAGGAGAAAGGAAAAACAGAAAGCAATAAGCTGCAGTATGTTGCTCTGCTGGATTAATAACACACTGAACAAAATGGCAACATTTTTTTTAGGGAACATTCCTGTCAATTAAGATACACAGTTTTAAAATGTTGCAGTTATTAATCATAATTCCTGTTCTCCAAGACTACAGTAGAAACCTCTACTTCTGCATATTGCTGCCGAAATCCACATATCCTCACAGCATATTTGAAGCATACTCAGATTTCTGAGTGACCAAAACCATTGCTGGCTACACACCTTCAGAAACAACCATTTTCAGCAGGCCCTTCATAAACCTCTTTTGCTAATGAACCTGTAAAAGAAAAAGGCTCTGGACTGTAGCACCTCCAAATCTTGGAGGCCACACGTATAAAGACCACCGCTATTTAAAATCTGGAAGATTCAGTGGCCTCTACTAGAAAATCATGAGTACAAAGTAATTCCAGACTTTCGGAAATTACTCTGGAAACATAATAATCTGTCCTTCTCTCTGAACTGCAGCTCTTTTTGTACAGCAGGTTTTTCTTGAATTTGTATCTTTGTAACACCAAGCCCATAAGCTCTTGCCATTCAGCCTGCCCACACCAACCAAGATGGAAGCGCTATGCTTGGGACACCCTGAGCCAAAGACTCTGGTCAGAACCTCGGCTGTTGTAAACTGAAGTTGCTCCATTAATGACCTATTAATTTAAACTGAGGATGAGAGCACATGGAAGAACTGGGTGGGTGGATGCTGTTGATTTACTTTCAGCAAATATTTGATGACATGATTAGGTAACATGGGTTTGTTCAATCGGTTTTAATTACATCTTGGTTGAAGGATTCCCTATTCTTCTACACGCTACGGAAGGGAGAAGACAAACAACATTGGACTGTGAGTGACACAGATTTTACAAAAAAAATACTAACCAAACAGTTCCCATCTTCTAATTAGATTTATAACTAAAACCATGCCATGCAGAGGGAAAATAAAAAACACAGATTTCAGCAAAAAGGTTTTTGAAAGATTTGGAAATGGGTTGAAATAAAATGTGATAATCTAATGGAAGGGGGAAGAAAGAGGGAAATGGAAAGTGTTGGAAGTGCTTAAAAATAAACTAGTGCGTGCCTGAGGGTCATGCCTGCTATTTCATACTTAAACTACCAGGACTGGAAAAGGCTAGCAAGGATGCAAAACCCCAAAAAAGTGCCTGAAGCAACAGTGGAATTGAAAGAGAAACAATAAAAAGACAGAGAAAAGGACCAAAAGACTTGGAAAGAATGAGGAAACGGAGGCAGAAAAGCCCACGTGAGGGGGAGCAGAAGGGCTCCGGTTCAGCCCTGCACCACACCAGCCTCATGGCTTTGGTGCGGCACGCTATGGAAGTCGGGAGCTCAGCTCCCCGCATCCAGCCTCCAGCCCCACTGACCCATGCAGCTTGTTTGCCCAGAAAGCAGCATCCTGGCAATATTTCCTTTCCCCTTCATTACAAGGTAAAGCTAAACTACAAGGACAAAGAGTTAGAAGGGGGAAATGCCTGACAATTCTCCATCTCTGCCTCTTGCTCCCTCCTCCCATGAAACAAATAAAAACTGAAGCAATTTAAATTGGGTGGCTTGCCAAGTATATCTTTTGCAAATGCATTCACTGTCATTATATGACAGATGTCCACACTTCCGTAACATTTCAGCTGAGCTTATCAGCCCTGAAATACTAGCCCTACGAAAATTCAGGGATCTCTTCAGTTAATTGACATGTGGATGCCAGATCCTGATCTCGCTTCCCCCTGCATAAGGCACGGATAGCAGTTACGCACCACATCAAGTCTGGGAGGACACTCCTGTTTTCAGTTAGCTGAAGTTACTCACTGACTTAACAGATCCGCCACAGCCCAGGAAGCTGTAACTGGGATCTGAATCCATTGTTTGGTCCCTACATATTTTCTTAATTATTGCTGAGTATCTTCATTACAATATGCACAGACACTACGTTCTGGCTAGAGCACTACCCGTATTATCATGTTTGGGGTTTTTTTTATGTTAGGAGCAAAACTCAATTCACAGTGATGCTGTAGTTTCATGCACGTTTTGAGGCAGCAGAAGGCAGCGGCACCGCCAGAGCCCATGTGCTACAAAGAGCTTTCCTGCCCCAGCCCCACGGGGGAACTACTCTGGCCTGAAATCCATCCAGCAAACCAGAAATGTTCTCACTCAAATCCTTTTGCCTCTACGCACTGCTGTCATGCACCCTTACCTACACGAGCGTTTGAGAAGCACCAGTGCAAGCTGCACACCCCTTGTCTCGGGCGCAGCCGGCACAATTTGGCATTCTCAACAGAAGACCCAGCTGCATACCATAAATCTTGGAAAGTATCTGCTTTCTTGCACAAAAATCCTATTTGTGGCCAGAAACTGAATGGGTCTGGATCATATCTTGTTACATGCTATCTGACAGAAGGAAAAAAAACCCAACAAAACGAACAGCTAATTACAGCTCTCACCAACACAGCAAACCTACAACACATCTATGGCTTCTCGTAACTCTTAAACCCGCTACTATGTTATAAACCATCACCAGAACAACTGTGCAGCACAGGAAGAGACATTAACAGCCTTAAGTGAATATGTGCATTTTTATACTTTTTCTGTTACCTGATCAAACTAAAATATTGACTCAGTGGTGGTACTGCATTTCCCCTAACAAAGAAGCTCTTCAGTACAGCAGAGTGAACTAAAACTCAGATTCCATTTGAACAGTGATGGCAGCACTTAAAACCATTTTCTCTGGAAATGTTCTTGCCACTAAATATTAATAAAACCTTTACATTAGAGATCTGTGGGATTTTGAAAAGAAAACTAATACGTATGGAGGGAGACAAGCAAAGCAAAAGAAATTGGAAGAGAACCACACCTAAGTGATAGATGAAAGGAGTGATTTACCTGAAGAGGGTGTCAACAAATGTGCCACTGCATTTTCATGAGTGACACATAAGCAGAAAAGGGGGAAAAGAAAGGATATTGAAAGCAGAGAGGAAAAAGAAGAAAAGCGTGGCAGGAGGAGAGAAGAAAGCCTCAGAAAGCAAGGCAAGGACTCTTCAGTAAAGACTTCATCGAGGCATCACACTCACGAGTGCGAGTTGTCACCCCTCTCATATTAAGTGGAGTCCTGCAACTCCCAAACTCTCCCAGTGCTCCAGTATGCCATCCATGAGGTGCTATGCAAAAAGCAAAAGCACTCCCTTACTGAAGCACTGGTGAAATTTTAAGGCACAACACTGTAACTGAGTAAGAGCTGTGCTAAAAACCTTCCCCAGTTGTGGGGCTCGTCGTGTATTTTCAGCTGATTTGTCAAAAGCACTCGGTTTGGCTTAATGCCCAACAAACTCCCATTCCTCCTATTAAATGGAATCGAACCAGTGCCAGGAGCTTATGCATTTCCATCCTGCGTCTTTGTGATGGGGCCTGATCACCGCTGATAGCACGTTCAGGGTGTTACTCACAGTAACAACCCCCAAAACGAACTCATGCAATTGTAATGCCGAGGTAATTGAATGCAAAGTCGGAATAAGATTGGTGTCTACATTTCCTTCCTCTCCCCAAAGCAACGACTTTCTTCAGGAGGAAAGGTGAGCAAGATATGCCAGGAAATGTGAACCCTTATCAGTCATTATTTCTTACAATACAGTATCCAGAGATATTAGGAGATTTTTCAGAACTCTACTACAGATCCTTGTGCCAACAAAACCAAACATAAGACAAACTCTGACCTCTGTATTTAAAAACAAAAAGTTTGCAGCCTTGCTTACCTAGTTCTTCCCCTTCAAAACCTCACAATCAGCATATTTTGTTACAATTACTTTTGCAACAGCTCTGGGCTTAGGTGCTATTTTCACAAGCACTATTTTCCGGTTTTGGCACCCCGTCTAAGATATTTTAGATGAACTCAACGCCGACAATGTGGGTGTTCCAGCCTTTACCAAGATCTGGTAATGCATTTCATGGGTCTCCACCTGAGCACCTCAAACTCCAGACGAGTAAAACATATGGCCACTTCTAAAGATTTTGCCCACAAAGAATGTTCTGCACAATTTATCCCCCAGTGTTGTTCCAGACCCAAGACAAACCACAGCGGTATTTTCCAGGCAGGTTTGTTAACATTTGCCCTGAACACCGTTCTTGACAAGAAAATCATATTCTTTATCACTGAAGATCAACGTTTGTCTTTCCTATTGAAGACTGTATATATGTTAATGGACAGACATTTAACCATTCTTGCTGTCCTCTTCCAGATCAACAAATTAGGGTACAGAGAAGTTACATAAATTGCTCAAGGTCACCTAGCAAGTCAAGAGCTATAGAGGCCCTTCCAACTGTCATATTATAGGTGAGGGAAAAAACCACGACACTTTACTTAAAATCTGCCTTAAGAAAGGAAATTGTTAACCTGGGGCTGAGATCTTCTAGCTAATCTTGGCTTACACAAATGAATAAATCGGAGCCAGTGGATTTTACTTCTTACTACATTTCACTGCTATCTTGGATTTTACACTCAAATAACAGTACTATGTTCAATAAAAAGCACTTTCCTTCTTCAGACCAATGTCTTCATTTAAACTACTATTTGATTTAAACAAAATGCAACTTCTTTTTTCTTCCAGTGGGCAACTTCATTTGGAGACTTTATGGATTTTCCTACGGATTACTTAACAAATGATAATAGAAATATGCGCTGGTTTGTATATGTATATATAAAAAAATACAAGTGTCTTTGATTAATTCTTAACGAACTTCAAAATTTTTCATTCTTAAAAACATATTGGGAAAACCTTCAACTTCATATTTGCTTATTTATTCAATTTAATTTCAGTCTTGCATTTACGTATCTAATATATTCCTCTACATATTAAAAATAATATAACCCAATTATTATTACTTAAAACATTTGCATTTTTAAAGCAAAATATTTTGGTTAACTATAAAAAGTACTTGACATTTTAATAACCAGAAGCTCTTGGAATAAAACCACAATGTAAAGGGTCAGTTCACTGTGATTTTCAACCCAACAATTAACTATAAGTAGCAGCTTCCAGTGAATTTTTCTTAGCAAGGTATCAACACCTGCAAAGGAGAAAAATTAATGAAAGCATTGTCATAGTCTTAAATAAATACCCCACTCAATCACGAGCAAGATGAACAAACAGATGTGAGTGCTTTTGATTATCTGAATGATCAGCCTGAGTGTTCAAACGCAGTAATGTCAAATGTCAAGTAATACTGGTTTTATCTCAAGCACAAAGACTCGAGCGTTGCTGTCTAGCTGCCGGCTACTGTTCCCACCAACAGAAGTCACCCACCTGGGGCAGCATGCGATTTTCCTCCTCCAGCTGTCTTACTCTTGCCTCCAGCTGCCTAACATAGGACAAGGTTGATTCTAAAAAATCAAAAAGAAAAAAACTCATATTATCCACAGAGATCTGCTTGTGTATACTAGTGTCAGAGCCTCTGCCACATTCTGAACTTGTACTCACAGCAGATTGCGTTTCTCAAATGTTCATTAAACATTCAGCTGTGCTCCTCTTAAGGGCAGTGCAAGTAATGCTGATACTAGAATTAATCCAATTCCTTGTTGCTTGTGATTCTAAATCGCTGCACTTTAAGGTGGTCCCTTCTCAGGCGCAAGGTATCTTACAGAAAGGCAACACGGACTCAGAGATGAGTTCTTCCAACCCATCCCCCAAGCTCTGTGAGCTTGTACTGTAATTTGGAAACACTCCACAAGAGTAATGCATTATCCCACCAAGTCACCACTGAAAAGCCCAGAAAGAGAAGATATTCTTCTGCAGGAAGAAGCAGTCAAAAAGGCCCCTCCACCGTGGAGGTCTGGCGGTGCACACGCAGCCTCCCCCCGCAAGCCATGATCTCACCTGCGGGCAATACAGCAGCTTGCCAGCATGGAGGCTCAAGCCTCAGCCTCTGCTAGGAATCAGACGTGTTGTCACAGCTTGAGCTTGTGCTAGAAACCAGACGTGTGTCCCCAGGGCCCCGAGAGGGTTTGGAGGCTGGTTGATAGCACGACAGCCCAGGGCACAGCGCTGCTCACAACCAGTACTCCTCACCCCGCGCACGCCAGGGCAGTACCAGGGCAGTACAGGCATGTGGAAGCATGTACTAGGACATGCTTCCACAGCGCTGCTTTGAGTTTGGAGGCTGGTTGATAGCACGACAGCCCAGGGCACAGCGCTGCTCACAACCAGTACTCCTCATCCCACGCACGCCAGGGCAGTACCGTACTAGGACATGCTTCCACAGCACTGCTTTGATACGCGGGCTCGGTTGAACAGCAAAATCCTGCCCACTCTATTCATAAGTAACCTCACTGACCTTCATAAGATAATTTGGTTGATTATGGCGAATATGAGTCACTCCTGGTCTGCTCTGTTCCCAAGAACTTTATGTAAGAAGAGTAGATCCATGATCCATCCCTAAAAGCATCCAAGAGCTTTCTTATCATGCATTTCTTGGGTTGCACAGAATTTCTGCTATTAAAGTCCTGTATCTAAGAGAAATACATGCCTGAGAAAGTAGCGCTGAACTGTAAGAGAAAAGATATCTTCTCAGTCCAGAAACACTGCTGTGACTCTTGTAGCTCATTGTATGTAGATGTACTCACTCCTGACTCACTGATCCACTCAGCTTTCTCTGAGATGTCAATTCCAGTAACATATTTGTACTCATACTACCACATAACTAGTAAAATTATCTCTCTGATGATTAACGGTACAGAATCCATGGGTATCAGGGCAGTACTGTCAGTTGATATAACCCTGCAAAGCTGCATTGACAACAAAGCTGTTCACTGGTTTAAATTGACAGATGAATTTGTGCACCAGTTTCCTCTGATATCTAAGCACCATGCCAGCCTGCCCATAAAAAAAAGGTGATGGGAAATGAGGTGTCACTGACTGCTCTTATGAGACTGCAATAGGCTAAAATATGCATGCACAGATAGTGCATGGGAATTTACACAACATGAAGTAATTTGTCAAAAATGATTAATACACAGCAAGGCACTGGATTAAAAATAGCTTTTTTTTGAAAGAGGTAATCTGAGGTTCTGCGTGCTCTGCTGCATACGGATTTTCATAGCTAGTGATGGGTGCATCTCTAGAGAGTCGCTCAGCCTAGCTCAAATGAGCACTTAGAAGATGAACAGCTTATTAAATGAACTATATACGACAGGGTCCCTCCCATCAAATCAGCTTCCTTCCCAGCAGCAGCACTTTTGGGAGGAGCCGCAGAAGCTCCCCACCGTAATAGTCATTACCACAGGCAATAGCTCCCAGCACATCTCATCCCTTCTCTTTGTTGTTTTCTACATAAGATGGTTTATGCGGAGCCATCTTTTTGGAGGGACTGAAGGAGGCTCTTTCTTTGGCACTAGCCATCTCTAAATTCACTGGTTACAAGTCCACCGCTACATTAGCTTGGGCTCGGACTTCATGCTCAAGTCTGACTTCCCAGCTGTGCCCACCAGCCCACTTCATGCAAGCTCCCTTCCAGATTCGCTTCAACTCTGGGTCTCTTGTAATTTTCTGGTTTACCATTTATTAGCTCCTCATACAGTGTATAGCTCTTGGCAAGTTTGCCTCTCAGTTTTATTTCTTCACTTGTATGTTGGGAGTCCAGAGCTGAGATCTCTGCTGCTTCAAATCACACAACTCTGCTGTCAGTTCACAACTTCCCAATGCCAGTTCATACCAGCGGAGGATTTGGTCTGAAATTTCCGTGCCTGTTAACCCTTCTAAAGCGTGAAACTTTTATTTAAATCTCCTTTTGTAATCTGATTAAAATGGAAAATTAGGTCATCTACTAAAGGCTTGATCTAGCAAATCCTTATTTATGTGAGTCTTCTTGACACATAGACTAGATGCATATATATTTCAGTATCTCTTAATATATTTATGCTGTGATGTTATGAGCTTAGAGGAAAAAATGAGCAGAAAAGCCAGTCAAGGACGTAAGAGACAGAGGAATTGAAAATACACAGAGTGAAACACTGTCACCACCGACACCAATAGCAAACTTTAAAAAAAAAAAAAGTTGCATCTTAAAAGTATTTATGAGAAGGACTATATGATCCATCTATTCTTAATCAGCCTGGAGACCAGTAAAGAGCTCTAAATAAAGAGCAAATCTTGAAACTGCCACCCAGAAAATGGTTACCCAATACCACTCCCATTGTCATTCCAGGCAAATTTTCACAAGACAATGAAGCCATTTAAAACTGAAGCAGAATGAACTTATGATAGTAATGCTTCAGCTTCGGCATCTGAGCTGAAAACAAATGTCTTCCAAAGGGAAAGCAGTACAGAAACCTAGCATCGCTTCCGTAACATTACCGTTGTCTTAAAATAAAGCATTTAATAAGATGCTACAGTGTGTCAGGCAACCACTGCTCTGAAACATAACCTGCGCAAACAAGATGATCCTTAGCTGATGTCATAGTCATAAAACCTTTTTGTGTTTTATCCTTCCCCAAACAGATTTATCTAACATTGCTCATTTTCACAGAGCTGCAAGTACACAGAAAAGCCCTCCCTTATTTGCAGAATCTTAAACTTGAGTTGTAAACTGCTTACAGATAAACTTCCAAACACAAATCTGCCGAGCTTCCTCTGCCCAGAACACAACCAGGGGAAAACAGCATCTGTATTAACACCATAAAAGCTCAACTACTATGTTCTGGGCAATAGCTCAGAAACTGTTAACTATGTTGAGATCAAATGCATACTCAAATAAAAACAGACAAACAATTTGGGCCCACATCTAAACAAGACCTGACCACAAACACATGACACTGCAGTAGCCAAACTACCAGTTTCGTCACCTGTGGGCTTCTTGGTTACATTATTTCCACTCCTTCCCATCTTCCTTCACTAGGCACTTCTACGGGAGCAACAGTTTTGAACAATTCCCATTCTCAGGAATGGATTCCTACCAAATGAGCCTCCCTACTTGAGCTTCCCGTGCTCTTAGCATCATTGAAGATGTGATCACCGAGTGGTGCTTCATTCCAGGGCTGAAACTAAAATTCTTTTCCAAATTATTAGAGACAGTAATATCTTGCTTTTAGGAAATTCAGTGACAATCCACCCTTTCTCCACATCTGTCACTCTAACATATTATTAGAGAACATCAATATTTACCTAGCTGATCTCTTTTTCTTTTGACATCCACACTCTTGAAGCTAGTAGATATTTTTGGGCTTATGTCAAACCTTACCAGATGCTTACGTTGCTGCCAAAGGCGTATTTGTGCCTTGGCTTTATCCATTTTTGTGTGACTGTGCCTGATCTCAGTCTAACAAGTAATTCATAATGTTCTCTAAGCTAGGTTATCATCTGCTATTTTAGAATGGTTGAGGATGTCATGTTAAATTCTGATACTTTCCTTTTTTTTCTGGGCTTGTTTTTTTGCAGACTGGAGGGTTACAACTCACAGGCAACTATGGGACTGCACTGGAGAACTTCTTAAAGACTGAGGCCCTCTACCCACCTATTAGCTCCCTGCAAAGCAAATAGATCAGAACCCCACAGGAAGCAAAAATTCAAAGGTTCCACCTACACTTCTACTTGTTCAAATAAGCTTTAGTAACAAGCACAATATGGAGGAGGAGTATTTGATGTAAAGAAAGAGTAGGAGATGCAACACCTTTAGTACTGATACAAACTCAGAAAGTAATGCACAAGAAATGCTTTAACTCAATGACTAAAATTCCATTTTTCTGCCTTTTTAAAAAACACTGATTCCAAATCATAATTGCTGTCTGCAAAAACTGAGCACGGGGATTCCACAGACCTCCTTTTGAGTAACTTCAAAGGATAAACCCATCAATGCAAAAGATGCTACTTGCTTCATGGAAGTTAAAAAAAAAACCAACCTATAGAATCTTTTAACTTTGGAGAAAACTGGTAATACCGTGGATGAGCACAGCAGACATCCCAGAGGAAGTAGAGCAAAATCCTCCAAGCTGAAAATACTTAGAAGGCTGGAGGTATTAGGAGAAAAGAGTAATGCTGTTTGCCTCGATCCCTAGCCATTAACTTAGGGCCAGCATGAAGAAAAGATGTTACGCTGGACAGAAGGCTGAAGCAGCAGCAACCGGTCCTTACATCCTCACGGCCAGAAAACGGAAAAACACGATTTCATCATAATGCAAACATCACCTCGGTTCTGTTAACATCAACATTTTCTGCTTCCACTGGCTTAGCTCTATTTGGTATTCATGTTCCTAAAGCAGGTCACCAGAATCCGGAGAGCTGTCACATCCCAATACGCATATTTTAAATACTTACAGTATAAATGAGGGAAACTGCCAACAATTTACTTCAGCAAAGAATTTAGCGTGTTATGTGTAGTGATACTTTGATG